AAAAAAAAAAAAAATATACTTTTTCTTTCTTTTCAATGTTTTCTTTTTTTTTTTTACTTTTTTTTTACAACATAAATCTACACAAATAATACTGAGCTATTGGTTGCTGTTGTTGTAAATACTATTAGTGATGGCTCAGTGATCGATCATTCAGTGCTGGTCATCTGTCGTCTATTATGCGGTCCATTTAATCAGTTCTTTAACTTTTTAAACATCGGATACTGCGGTGATTACAGACGATGGTTAGGAATTTCAATTTCTAAATACGTAGCATAAACATCGTATTTACAACGTCTTTATTACTGTTATGATATATGCCAATAAGCAAATTGCACTATCATTACTTTGGATTGACAATGAAGTAAACTGACCATTTAGCAGTGACATTTATCGGTAAAATATCTTTGCTATGGCGTTTGATGAAGACTGAAAATTGTTGCTTGGATATAATCTTATTTATTACATCTTTATTTTTTTTGAAAGATTTTTAAAGTGAGAAACAATAAACAAATTTCTGCATAATTTTTACTGGCAATTTCATTGTTCCACTTCCGGTTCTTTACTCAATCAATATACTTATTAATTAACGGATGATTATAGTTCAGAAACATTAAGAAACACTTGTAAAATTGTTTGTTACTTTGTGTGTCTATATTGGTTTTATTTCTACTAAAATAACTTTTTCCTACCATTAAAAGACTGTATACTTTCATTCTTCTGAAAAATTTTTAAAATACCTTATTTTTTTAAAAACGATTACAACTGTCTTTTTTTCTACAGAAAGTGATAAACTTCTTGCTTGACAGATTTTGGGGTATTAGTATACAAATAAGCTTTAGTTCTAAGAAACCATAGAAGCTTTTATGTTTCAAAGACAAAATTTCTCGTAATTGCTCGGCTGTTTGGTGGTGTCACTGTATGTTTACTGTTTGGCGTAACCGAGATTTGGCGACGTTTAGTAGTTGGTATATGATTGGTATACCAGAGACGGAATATGTATCAAAAACATCCCTGCGAATTTTTTGATTTTGAAGTGTTTTGAGAAGCGAAAAAATAAATAAATAAATAAAAAGAGGTTTTAAAACATTTCTGTCTCGCTACTAAAACATAGCTTAGACATTTCAACTTTTTTTGATTTAATTTTGTTCTGAATGCTTCTAACTTTTCTTCTTTTGGCCTCTGTTTTTGTTTAGTTTAAAAAAAAAAAAAAAAGAGAGAAAGCGAATAGATTAGAATCTAAGTCGACAAACTGTAGTTATAGTGTTTGTAATCGACAGGAAAAAAATGTTGGAAGGGCAAAACAAAGCAAGAAGGTCATCAGCAAAAAACTTCTATTTTGTCAATGTTGTTGTTGTTGTTGTTTTGAAGACAAGAAATTCCTTCTCATTTTTTGACATCAAGAAAATGCTTTTTGGTTTTCAAATTGATATTGAAGAACACGGGACGAACGATGAAGAGGAAAACAGACAAACGATCATCAGCACCAGCAAAGATATCAAAAAAAGATAAATAGATAGATACATGAGCAATCATTGTTCAATTGGCTTACGACATAATTATGACATTCTATAAGATGCAAAAGAAAAAGGAAAACTTTTTTCTTTTCAGTTGATTTTACTGTTTTTTTTTTATTTTTTTGCTATCATAGAAAGTGAAAAACAAGGACATGTTCTCTGAGGAATTTACAAATCTATTTTT